AATGTATAACCAACAGTCCATTTACTTTTTATTAGTATGTAGACGATTTGTATCTAATTCATGAATGTAGTTTTACTGTAGTTTGTCATTGTAAATGGAGCAAAGTACATTATCTTTATAGTTACTCTAAAATGTACATTATGTAAGAATTGTAAATATACTTGATTAAATACTTTGTATGCTGAAAAATTACAGTATGTCAATAAAAATCTCACCTCTGGCAAAGTTCTTTTATGCTCAGACTTCTGCTTTTTTTTGTGAAATACTCTGTGAACATATCTGCTTACATCTGTTATATTTAAGGTGTTATATCGCTTCCCAGTCCTTTCAAATTGATTCACATTGATCCTATTTGTTGATTACTTCAATCAAGAAATCCATTTTGACCTTTAAGTATTTAATTCTGTCTGATCACTGAGCTGTTATTGCCCCTAATTCATTAGCTAAAGACCACAAAAGACTTTTTTGGCCTTTGCTTTAATTTTTTTCCTGATGATTGACATATCTGTTAAAGTTCCTGATTTATGCAACACATTCACACTGAATACTTTTAGTAAACAAAGAACAAACTTTTTTTGTGAATTGGGATTGAAGGAATGGAGGGTTAAAAAAACAGAATTGGAAGTAAATTGCCTGTTTTTACCTTTTAAGTTAATTGAAAGCAGAGAAACTTTTCCATGTAACTTGCTTTATTCAGCTTCATTTCATTTTCGGAATAGTTCTGAAGAAGAGAACCCACACCAATAGTCAGTAAACGTTTTAGATGAAAACGAAACAATGAGTTTTCATTTCAGATAAATATTTAAATGATGATAAATAAAAAGAAAGATAACCATTCATAATTCCATCCACCTGTGCTGTCCAGAATGCAAGCCACTAGCTACATGTGGCTAACTAAACTAGTTACAATTAGACAAAGTTCAGTTCCTCAGTTGCCACATTTTAAGAGCTCAGCCACATGTGGCCAGTGACTATTGTTTTGAACAGGGCAGGTTATAGAACATACCCATTATCAAAGGAAGCTCTATTGGATAGCGTGTGTTTATGCATTTATACAACAGGATCACATTGCTTCGTTACCTACATAATTCACTTAATAGGTAGGGAGGATTTTTTAAAATGTTTTTATTATGAAAAATTTCAAACGTGGAAGTAGAGAAAATACTTCAGTGATGTAAACTCATGGTTAACATTGTTTTATTTATACTCCCATACATTTTCCCCCTTCCCTGTTTTTTGTTTTTTTTCTTTTGAGTTGGGATCTTACTCTGTCACCCAGGCCGGAGTGCAGTGGCACAATCGTGGCTTACTACAACTTCGAACTCCTGGACTAAGGTGATCCTTCTGCCCCAACTTCTCGAGCAGCTAGAACTACAGGTGTGCACTCCCATGCCAGGCTAATTTTTAAAAATTATTATTTTTTTTTGTAGAGACAAGGTCTCACTGTGTTGCCTATGCTCGTCTCAAAGTCCCGGGCTCAAGTAAATCATCCCATCTCGGCTTCCCAAAGTGCCAGGATTACAGGTGTGATCCACCGTGCCTGGTCTTCCCTGGATTCTTTTAAAAAAACCAAATCCCAGACATTTTGCCAGCAGATCATTCAGTATGTATATCTAAAAGATAAGGATTCTTTTTTTAAAATCGTGATATAGCTTTCAAACTATAAAACTATAATTAGTGTTCACATTTTCCCACTTGTCTCAATTGTGATTTTTAAATAGATTGTTCAGATCAGAGTTCATGTAAGTTCCATGTATTGTTGTTAGCTAACGTGTTTCTTAGTCTCTAGATCTATAAGTTTTTCCTCCACTTACTATTATTTTTATTATTATTTAGAGACGGTGCCTTGCTCTGTTGTTCAAGCAAAACTTCCTCTTCAGCCTCCTGAGTAGCTAGGACTACAAGCGTGCCATCTTGCCCATTTATTATTTTTTAAAATTTCTACCTGCTGCTTATTCAATACAGCATTTTTAATACAGCATTATTATTTTAGTTTAACCACTTTATTGTGACCATTTGATTTCAATTTTTTTGCCATCATAAATCTATCTGCTTTATTCTTATGGCTAAGTATTTTAGTACATTCTTAATTATTTCCTTAGGATGAGTTCCTTGAAGTAAAAATACTGGTTCAATGGGTGGGCATATTTATGAGTTTTATTCTACGAGTTAGGCACTGTCAGGTAGGGGAGATAGTGGCAGTTGAAAAAGAAGGCCAATGTATATTTTATTCTCTTGGTGTCTTGCATTCTTGCGAGGGAGAAACATGGGACTAGGGTAGTATACAGGTGGCCCTCATGGAATTGCTGAGGATGGCACCTAGCCCAGGCACTGGATGGGAGGTGTTTAGAGATCATTGTGTAGGCAGTGACATGCAAGCCAAGGTCTGAAGTAGAAAGAGGTTGGATAATCTGTCCACCTTTGCAGATGTGGAATCACACAATAGGAAAAACAAATCACCTAATCTCTGGTCAGCCAGATCAGATAATTTGGCCAAGGTCAAAGTTAGAACTGGAGGAGTATTGTGCTTACCAAAGTGTTTTGGTCTATTTAGTCATGTTATGACACACCAGATATTTCTATTTTAAGCTGAGAAAATAGCACATTGTACCTGACATACTACATCTTAATTGTCTTAATTATGCTACCACTATGCTTGGTATATAGCAGGCTCTCAATATATCTTGGATAAATGACTAACTGGCTATCTTGAACCCACTGTTGTAGTTTTCAGTAAGAAATACACTTCTGTTTGTTGTTTGGGTTGGGGTCTCGCTCTGTCACCCAGGCTGGATTGCACTGGCATGATCACAGCTCTTATAGCCTTGACCTCCCAGGGTCAGGCAATCCTTCTACCTCAACATCCTGAGTAGTTGGGACTACAGGAGTGCACCACCATTTTTTGACAGGGCCTCACTGTGTTGCCTAGGCTGCTCTCGAGCTCCTGGGCTCAAGTGATCCTCCTGTCTCAGCCTCCCAAAGTGCCGAGATTACAGCAGTATACTTCTGAAAGCTATTATACAATATTAATTCCTCTTCATGGGCAAAGAACTGGGAAGGATAAGCTACAACTTGGAGACTAGTCTCAAGTATTTTTCTGTATTCCTTTGTAAAATTTAAATGATCTTGTTATTTCTTATCCATAAATTCCAGGAGTAGTGATCTTATAAAGGTTTGAAAGGTAAAACAATTGTTGAATAAGTTAATTCTAAAATAAATGATAGAAGTAAAAACCACCTTATTGTGGTGTAGGTGGGGGCACTAAAAGGCACAATTCCAGAATTATTTCTACTTTATTAGGGAACAATAATTGGGGTGTAAAATACAACTATAGCCTGCTGCTTGGAGGGTCTGTGTCTGTAAAACATATAATAAAGCCTTAATAGAGATTTGAGGTTTATTTATAAATACCCCAGCAAAGCTATGATTGCTTGAATTATATTCTTGTACATGTTAGATATTTAAGGCTTTTTAAAAAGAGTAGTGTCTTTAGCATAGTTTATTTTTACTCAGTGTTAGTCGCTGTTCTGCTTTTTATCTACTGTCTCTCATACCTCTATGAGGCATAGAGACTAGTATTAGCCCCATTTTCCATAAGGCCTGATTGTGGTTCAGAATTATTAAGTAATTTGACCATTGTGTAGGGGAAGAGCTGTAATGCCTGGAGCGTCCACGCCAGAACTCTCGCTTTTAATTAGCATCGTATGCTGAAGTTTGAGCTAAAATACACACAACTCAGAGCTTGATTTACTGCTTTTAGAGCTAATCTTGGCCAAAAGCTTGGGCTCCGGAAGCAGTAAGACTTGGGTTGGGATCCTGGCTCCATTACTTACGAGCCAACTAGATATGGGTAATTCTCCAAACCTCAGTTTCCTTGATTGTAAAGTACCTTTACCTCATAGACTTGTGAGGATCAAATGAGTGTGGCAATTTTGCTATTTTTTTCCCCCGAGGTGAGTAGTATGTGTTGAACGTCTATTTCAGAGGTCCACTGTTTTTCAGAAAAGAACGAGAGTTAAAAATGATGAACTGTGGTTCTGGGAAAAGTAGGGTCCACCTACGCTTTGAGGCGCAATGGCATGGCTCAAGAAGCTGGTGGGAGATGAAGTTGTGTGTGCACTTGCCCATGCACTGCACATCCCCCCCTTTCAAGCTTGCAGAACATTTTTACACGTATATTTAGAAACTACTGGCATATCACCAATTCTTAGAAGATAGAAGTTAATGAGTTTTCATCTAGTTGGCAGTGTCCAACTGTCAAGGTTGTCACTGGCTAGCGTGACCTTAGGCAAGCTACCTCAGTTGATAATCTGCAAAACTCCCCGGCACATATTAAGGCTCTTGAAAAACTGTCCAAATCTGTCTAAATTTTTTACAAAACGAATTAATACCACAATCTCGGCTCTCTGAATTACCACGATGTTTTGGGCAGCGGGGTCCCCCTGCTGGTCACATAGTTTGGACTCCCTCTGGTCTGTTTCTGGTGCGATGGGGCATCCTCCCCAGGTCTCCCGTGTCATTACCACTTCAGCGTGAAAGAGGAAAGAGCTTGCTAGTTTAAATTCCCTAGCTCCACCTCGGCTTCAAGATGTGAAGGGAGCTGGAGAGAGGTCTTAGGGTCTCCAAGAAATTCGGGGGAAAGGTACAGAGATAAAAGCGTTCCCCTCTTCGTGTGTCCAGTCTTTGCTAGCTGAAGAGGTCCTTCCTTGGGATGCCTCATTTCCTTTAATGGCTCAGTTTCGACATGTAGCCTCGGGCTGGACACGTAGGGCGCCAGTTCTCACAGACTGTACAGCGGGCCGGCCTTCTGCACGTCTGGGTTCTCAGCCGGTTCTTCCCATGTGGGACGGCCAGAACCCACTGGCGGCCCATCCGGCCGCTAACGCCTCCGAACCTAGGACCCAGCGGCCGCCGGCACGCCCTGGCCCCGCCCCTCCGCGCATCGGCGCTGACGATTGGCTCTGGGCAGCGC